CACATACCCAGCAGGTGGGGTTGGCCAGCCAACCTCCCACGGCCCCTCCCCTAGCCCCATTCAGGGGCAGGGCCAGCTGGCCCACTGCCCACAGCCCCTCCCCATGGCCAGCCCTCCCCCCAATTCCCCCCCCCCCCCAATCGGGGGTGGGGCCCGCCAGCCAATTGCCCATGGCCCCTCCCCCCAGCCAGCCCACCGGCCAATCTCCTGCCATCTCCTCCTCCCAACAGGCCCGCCCCGATCTGCCACTGGGGTTGGGCCAGCCTGATCCCACCTGTGCACAAATTCATGCACTGGGCCTCTAGTATAAACATAATACTAGGACTACATGGTAAGGAAATCCAGGAATACATATAAATACTATATAAATTAAAAAGTTGAAAAAACATTTCCCTTTTCCTACTCATTTAAAGTAATTAAGTAATGAATGTCAAGAAAATTGGTTGGCTTTAGGGGAAAAATTATACATGGCTAGACTTCCATTTTAATGATCATTTCAATCATTAAACATTCTTGTTTTATCATGACTTATACCCTATAATATCCTCAACTGGGAGGATAAGCTAGCTCCCTCACCTCTGGTCAGTCACACTTATTATCAAAGGTAGAGTTAAGCCCCACAGACTTGCTATTTGTTTTGAGCTACTTCTAATTTGTATGCTTTATGTTATGGTAATACTTACCATTGATTGACTTACCTCTCATTATTTCAATCTGCCTAAACACAGATTCTGGTTATTAAGCTATGCTCTTAGAAGGTCTTACAATATTGTTAGCACACAAAAATGCCATTCATATCAGTCAAAAGTACAAGACAAACAAAGACAGAAGCTATGCATATGGAGGAATTGAAGAGTAAAATCTACTATGTGGTTTAAAGCTACATAGTAAGGAACAGAGTCTTGATTTACATGCATATATGTGTATGTGTGCATGTATATGTATGTATATATATATGAATATATATGCATATATAGCCAAAATAACTATATGCAGTGTAATCTTAATGTATTTGGTACATCTCTGTTTATAAGGCAGTGCAAATTAATCACCTATTCTTTTTTTCCTTTTCAATAAACACATGTGAACACTAGACCCAAAACAAATTTATCTCTAATTTCGAGGTTAAAAATAAATGGGGGAAAAGTGGACTGTTTGAGGCTCATTAGCAGCCACCATAATCATAAATTTCCTTTCAATAACACCCAAAGGATCCACTGTGCTGTGGTACTTTGGAAAACAGCAGCTTACATCCCCTAATTTCTTCTCCACATACCGATTTGTACGTATTGGCTTACAGGAATGTTTTATTACACATCATCATGTACTAATGTCTGTAGTTACACTTGACAAATTTTTTCAAAAGAAGAACATGCATAAGAGAATGTCTAGGATACTCTAATATCACAACAGTAACATGTCATTTTGCAAAACAGTGAAGAACCATTCAGTATGAATATTTTTCATCCTAGGTACCAAAAAATATTTCCTCAAGAGTAATTAAAGGTGACTTCCTCTTGAGGTCATAGCTTGGCCATCAATCAGCCTAGGAAGCATTCTGAATAGGTGTGAAACTTTAACACTTAACTTTGGGACCCTAGTCTATGGCTTTGCTGTCTATAGCCCAGAATCTCTACAAATGTAGCATAAGACTCATTAGTATTCAGACTGGCTTTCCTTGGCTGAGTTTAGCCGAAAATGGGAAAATTTCTGGAAAATTATCAAAGTCTGAGAGAAATGCAATATATATTAGGGAAAATGGAGAAACAATTGTCAAAACTAGATGTTTTAGCATCATGGAACTTTTAATAGGTCTGCAGGAATCTGTAAACTGTAAGAAAACACCAATTATTATTACTGAGGAGAGGGCTTCACTATTTGTGTGTTTATGTTTTTATTACTCCAAATAAAGAAAGTATATATAATAAGAGATTATGTAAAAACTTGGAATCATCTTACTTCAATAATTAGATACAAAATGGACTTTATTTTTGACATGTTTACTTTTTAGGTTCACCATTATTGGCTCCAATTTGGTCTTCACTTAATCCATAGTTAAAAATAAAGCACTAAAAGAAACCTCTTTACCCACCTGTGGAGGTATCTCAATGTTAAAATACCAATTAGTGTCAGAATTATCAGTATGTGTGGAGCGGGGGGGGGGGGGGGCAGAAATAAAAGCTTATAATGTTGAATTCTCATGACATGAAACCACTTCTCTCTCTTGGGACAGATCAATTCTTAAGAGTAGAAATAACATGCTATTTCAGGATCAGTTTGTGGGTGAGTAAATTTTCTGTGGGAATAAAAAGTAGTAAACTCTAATGGACAGTCTTAAATCTATCCAGATTAACATGCAGATGACATTTGGATTGTTCTTCAGAAGGTGTCAATATTATTTTCTTTAGTTCACTATTTTAGATACTTTTAGGTTCAACTTCCTTTAGGTTAACTTTCATAAACAGAATTTTACATAGTATTGACTATATTTTGCATTGCCTTGAGGGCAGCGGTTCTCAACCTGTGGGTCTTGACCCCTTTGGCGGTTGAACGACCCTTTCACAGGGGTCACCTAAGACCATCCTGCATATCAGATATTTACATTACGATTCATAACAGTAGCAACATTACAGTTATGAAGTAGCAACGAAAATAATTTTATGGTTGGGTCACAACATGAGAAACTGTATTTAAAGGGCCAGAAGGTTGAGAACCACTGCTTTAGGGTTTAGTAAGGGTTGTTTATTTAAAAAATAAGGAAAGAAAAAATGTCAACAACATGCTGAGATATACTTATTCATTTTGCAATCACTTACTGTAAGTGCTATCCTCGTCTTTTGTGCCATCAATGGTTCCATCTGCCTGCAGCTGCAAGTGGAAGCCTTGTCGGCTGTATAGTTTGGTAACTATACCCTTAAGTTGAGGCTCTGTAAAGAGAACCAGGGTTTGGATCATTTGTTAAGTTGTGTATAAGTAGTTGAAAAGACTCAGAATTCAAACTTATAACTTTATTTACAACTTTTAGTGGAAAAGGTCAAGCTATATTTTAAATAGTCCTCTGAAAGAAAACAAATATTGTTTTAGAATAAATCTCCAAACTGAAGAAAACACTTGATTTCTACCTCATAACACTGATAAAGCCCTAAAGCTGACAGCAGCTACAGCTTCTGATAGCTTGTCCTTTGCCTTCCAGCCTGGTCCTCTATCGCATTCGGAATGGGTTGGCAAATGGCAAATTCTGCCTTTTAACAATGTGCCACTTTTCACGTGGAAGGAAAAGAAGAAGTACAACTGTAATTTAGAATGGTTTGCCATACAGGAACCAAAAACACACTAGTAAACATTTCCCTCAGAATTATGGCAATTTGAATAAACAATCCTCTCCATTCTAAGGAAGTTGAAATACATAAATAATCCACAATCCCATCAAAGGACTTATATATAGAAAATTGAGCTGTGATACAAAAAAAAGGTGGAGGGGAGAATAAAGCAGCCATTATCATACCCTAGCATATTTATTATCCTTAGGAAAAGTGGGTACAAAAAGACCAGGGCTTTTGTTGGTGGGAAGGAAAGGAAAATAGTTCATACTTATTTTTGAATTTGATGTGAGAAATATGATTATCCAAAATATGTTCTCAATTAAAATGATTTTCAATTACAACTCACCATTAATAAAGTACCTAATTTACCAATAACAGCTATGCTATCCAAAAGTTGCTTATATTGAATACAGACACCTGTACTGAAATAATATTTACGTGATTATTCGGGCCTCGTAATCATGCTTTGTAACCACTTAAGCCTTTTTAAAACAAGCCTAACGTACAGCTAATACCTTAAAAAACTTCAAGCCAACAGAAAATGTATGTTTGCATTTCCATTCCAGGGTGTGTATAACACATAGAGAAATAACAGATTGACAAGTCTGAAATTCTGCAGTACTTACCTAGTTAAAATAAAAATGCTGAACGGATTCATTTGGTTAAGAATCCCCAAATAAGCTGCAGGTTAGGCTGAAGGTCTACCTTGACACAACCTGATACCTACAGCTGTGTGAATTTCCCCTGGCACAGGAACATGGTGTTAAGCTGATCACTGAATAGATTCAAAAGGACCTACACTCTGGCTATGAGTTTAGATTCTCTCTACTGCATTTTAATAGCAAGTAGGCACAGTTTTACTATTCTAACCAGATCACTAAGCTATTTGATAAAAGGTTCTAGGAATCCACTCCCCTCTTTCCAGCAAAAAATTTCAAAGCTGCACCACAAGTCAAGTCTGTTCGATCAGCTTAAAAGTGATCAAAGAAACAGAGTGCCCAGACAACGGAAACCCAGAGAAGTTGGAGGGGACGAGTCAGACTTGCAAGAATAAAAGGTAATGGAGGAATTCCCTAGGTTATCCTTGGTTGGGGGGAGGGAGAGTGGTGTCTGCCCAGCTCCGCGCCTGCAATTTACACACACACACACACACACACACACACACACACACACACACGATAGCCATTTCTGTATCGCGCCTGCCCAGGGGCATGCACACATGTGGCACGTCTGAAGCTAGGGGCGCGCCGCCTGAACAGGGTATGCCCCCATGCTTTATGCCTGTCCCATGGCAGTGGCAATGCAGCAAGCCCGGTGCCTTTATGAAGGAGACAAGAAGGCAATCACTTCCCTCAGCATGCACATTGGCTAGGTGGCCACATCCATACAAGATGGGCCGCCGACAAACTCACCTACGCTTACCTACACGCCCTCTAGCTCCTCCAAATTCGTAAAGTATGAAGCAAAAACAACAACAACAAAACCAACCAAAAGCCCCTTCCGACCTGGTCTCCTTCTGCGTCTCTTTTTGGAGCCGAAGAGTTTGACCCGGGAAAAGACGTTTAACTTGTTTTTGTCGCAGCTGGTCTTGCCTTTGCTGGGGCTGCTGACACACTTGCAGGCATTGGATTTCTCGCGCTCGCGGGCTTGTCTCTTCTGCCGGATCAGGGAGCTGGCGATAGCCGCCGCCATAGCCACGACGCCCACCACCACCACTTCTTTTGCTGCCCCTTTCTGGCTTTGCCTCCTCCGCCCTCTCCTCCGCCGCTTGTCTGCTGTCTCGCGCCTTTGCCGCCTTTGGCTCTTTAGCCTGCGCTTGCCGGGACTTCTCTGCTCTAGGGCTTCAGCCCAGGAGGGGGCTCAGCATGCCTTCTGAGCTCCTCTGGCAGTGGTCCCGCTCCCGCGCGGGCTGCGGGCTTCGAGCAG